AATCAAGTTCATCAGGTTTTGCTCAATTTGATATATGTTTATTGAGGAAAGAGTTTTATGAACTTTGGTGTAAGCCATTTCGAAAAATATTCAACTACATTGACATGTTCATAACCATTTGACGAAAAGTATTAGAAATCAATGCATTGAGAAAGATAACTCCTGACAAGGCCATATCTCAAGAATGGCACGATTGATTGACTTGAAATTTTTTTATGGTCACAGACTTTCATCAGTTATACTCAACATAAAATTTTCCGTTCAAAATTTTGGGCTTCTAATTTCTTATAACTCATCCAATATAAGAGAAAAATTCACATATTGGACATCTTTGATGTTTCAGAATTCGTGATGAAAATAACATAGAGTTCCAAAGCTTTTATCAGTGTTAGATCACGTAACAATATGTATTCTTTATGAATTTTATCAGAATAAAGGGGTTACCGGAAGGTCGTCAATAGAAATTTCGCAAACTGGACTTTCGCCATTGGCGAATGTGCAGTGAACTTTCGCCAATATACCCCCTGTATTTTCGCCATTTGGCGAACTTCCAGTGCTTTCGCCAATTGGCGAATTTTCAATGAACTTTCTCCAATCTAAGTATAATGGCAGTTTTGATTAGAGAGGTTGACATCAACTATATTCATAACTGTATGAATTGAGGTACATGTTTTAATTCTATAGATAGTTCTCATCGCTTATAATACGCATGTTTGTTCCACCTCCACCGCCATTAATGAAAATCGATTCGACTTTCGCCAATTTACCCTTGGATATTCGCCAATTGGCGAAAGTTCAGCGGACTTTCGCCAGTACAAACTCTGGATTTTCGCTAATAATTGGCGAAAGTCTTATTGGCGAAGTCCTGGAATCCCCACACCCCACCCAATCAACAAAGTTTGGAGCGATCTAAATTTCAACCATGAGAAAATTGATCGCAGAAAGTTTTGCTTGTTTTGGACAGCAATTGCAATAAGGTTTACTGTGTAGACTGTAGAGTTTTTTCTGCTATATCTCGTAGTATATTTTGCTTTTTAAATACGATATACTAAATGAATGAAAATTAAAATGCAAAAAGCGACCATTATCATGATGCCTATGTCACCCATTAATATGATTTCAATTGAATATTTTATTAAACATATTAACTTCAAAACAATATGAAATCAATTAAAAATAATCAAAAATTATTAAATCAAGATCTATATTTAATTGTTCAGTAATTTTTCCTTAGTAAAAAAAATTAGCTTTACTATAGTAAGTATTTTGAAAAGCTTAGTAATCAATTTAAAAAGACTTATTGATTTCGAGTTGTTAGGAACGATATTTTAACAAAGAATATTTATAGAAATTACTCTTTTTTATTTATGTATATGAGTTCAGTCTGAGATACAAGTGTAGGTATATACACATTATTGTCACTCCTACTTCTAACCATTACAATCAAATTCAACATCAACACTTCTAACTCATAGCAAAGTTCCAATCTAGTATGAAAATTCAAACCCACAGCCTAGTCAGATGTATCTACTGAAAATTTTCTTTATAGTATTGACCATTTAATTTGTTTCCTGAAACAAATAGATAATATGTCAAAATCAATTGTCCAAAATCAAATTTTCCAGATTATGTGCTTAAATAAATGAAAAGAATAAAAAGTAAAACATCGGTTCAATTGCAGAACTTAAAGAAAATTTGAATTGAAAATGAATACAAAAGTAAAAAATATAACAGTTCGTTAAATGAATAATAATTAAAGTTCTTGAAGTTATTGAATTGCATATTAATTTCACTGTTTTTCTTATTCATTTCTAAAAACAAAATAAATTATTGAGTATGTAATTTGTCATCGGTTGATGATATATTTTACTTAGATGCCATATTCACATCGCCAGGTGTAGCTTCAATTTTCAATTTCAATTTACTCAAATCATTTTGTATTTCTTTCAAACTATTAAGAATATTATCTGGATCATTGTCATTTGGAACCTTTTTATCCTTTTTCGCTTTATTATCTGAATTATTATCATTTTGAACCTTTTTTACTTTATTACCTGAATCGAATTCCAATTTTGATCTAAAGTTATTTTAATGTTTATGTTAAAAACTAAAAAAACATGTTTTATTTATATTACTTTTCAAGTGTAGCTTTCCATTCTTTTACTTTTTCATAAGCATGTTCATATGTTGCTGAATCTTCAAATTCATACCATTCTTTTACAATAGATTTATTATTGGGAACAATTTCTACAAAATGCCGATAAAGAGATATTAAACAAAAACAAAAAGACAAAAAAAAGAAAATTTTTTCTTCATTCTTGTTTCCTTACTAAAAGTTATAGCCTTTGAATCTTCTGAATGTTTTAAACAAGTTCGTCTTATAAAGAAGACGAACATACGAATTAAATAATAAATATCATAAAAAAGACTTATTGGTGGTAAAAATGGTGAACGTGCATAATATTCACGTGTATATAAATATGTTTGTGAACGCCAAATATTTTGTGTATCTTCATGAACTTCATCAAATCGTTTACTTTTAGGAAAAACAAAAACATAAACAAAATATAATCGCAACAAGAAAATTAACATAATAGATCATTTTACCTAAACATAGCTATAAGTAGATTAGCTAGTAAAAGATTCACAAAAATCATATGAAAAGCAAGTAATACATGAGTAGCAATGGACCAGCCAGCATCAGAATTATCTTTACAATAGACGAACAATAATCTATGAAGTATTAATTTTATCTTACATATACATACTATCAAGATTTTGTAATTCGTTACCAAATTGTGAGTATAACAAATAGTAAACAGGATATAGAACTTGATGAAAAACAGCTCTACCATCAAAACTATTATCTATAGAACCATTTGTTTTTGTTGTAAAACCATTCTCTACTGGATAATAAACCATTGAACGAGATGCAACACCATAACCAATCATAACAACTGCAATAATGCATAAAAAGAATACAAGATCTTGAAGCTATAAAAAAGAAAAACAAAACAAAAATGAATAAAACAAACGATATGAAAGCATTTATTTAATACCATTTTTCCAATAGCTACGAGATGTGGTCCAAGAAATGGTATGACGATAATAAATGATAAACAACGAAGCCACCAGATTGCGACATCAATAGCCATCACAATTCTAATAAATGTGTGGAGAAAAAAAACAAAAGTTTTAGATATCACTGAATAGAAGCATGTAAATGCAATATAAATTAGTGAACTATCATCGAGTCTCAATACGCAGAGTGTCAATGTCTTAATAAAAAAATTAATAGAAATAAATGATGGTCTCAATGAATCTATTATTTATTATATTGCAGAAAAAAAAACTAAAATTTTATATGCTCTCGTTTTTTCTTCTTGTCTTATATGAATATCTTCAAAATACTGGTACGTAGGGGTTTTTTTTAGTATTTTCTTGTGTGTCATTATTGATGTAACAGGGATGCATAGAATACAGGTTAACTAAAAAAAAAGAGTACTCGAATTTTTAATTCAGATGAAAGATAGCAATATCTTGTGTTGTTTACACAAAAAAAGATTCAATAAACAAACCTTGCTGCCACGAAGTCCTGTTCGGAACCTGCATGTCTAAATCGTAGAATTAATCCAATATAGAAAAGAACAAATG